ATGTTTTTTTCTTTTTAGCTCACCTGAGCTTGCTCAGGGTGAGCTTTTAGGCTCGGTGAATGTCCGTCGTCCGTCGTACGTCCACAATTGCTTGTGAACACTCTAGCGGTCGCATTTTTGCCTCAATTATCATCAAACTTGGTCAGGATGCTTATCTAGTTGAAAGCTCGGATGAGTTCGAACATGGCTCATCTCGGTTGAAAAACTGAAGTCACAAGAGCTAAAAATAGAAAAATCTTTGTGAACACTCTAGAGGTCGCACATTTTGACCCAATCATCATCAAACTTGGTCAGGATGTTTGTCAAGGTGATAGCTCGATGAGTTTGAACATGGTTCATCTCGGATGAAAAAGTAGGTCACAGTAGCTATGAATAGAAAAACCTTGTTAACACTCTAGCGGTCACCATTTTTGAACCCAATCATCATCAAACTTTGTCAGCGGTTGCTTGTTTTTGCTCGGATGAGTTTGAATATGGGTCTCATCTCACCGGAGCTATCAGAAAAACCTTGTTAACTCTAGGTCAGAGGATGCTTGTCTAGTGATAGCTTGGATGACTTCGAACATGCATTATCTAGGTCAGGAGCTAAAAAAAAACCTTGTGCGATGATTTCATGAACATGGCTCATCTCGGATGAAAAACTCGGAGGTCACAAGAGCTAAAAATAGAAAAAACCTTGTGCACTCTAGAGGTCACATTTTTGCATCAATCATCATCAAACTTGGTCAGGATGTTTGTCTAGGTGATAGCTCGGATGAGTTCGAACATGGGTCATCTCGGATGAAAAAACACTCTAGTGGTCAGGTCACCGGAGCTAAAAATAGAAAAAAAAAAACTTGTTAACGTTACACTCTAGCTACTGTTTGTGATCCAAATATTCTGTTAATTGGTCATTTTTATTATCATCAAACTTGGTCAGGATGCTTGTCTAGGTAATTGCTTGGATGAGTTCGAAATCACATGTGAAACTAGGTCACCGGAGCTAAAAATAGAAAAATCTTGTTAACACTCTAGTTGCTACTGTTTTGATCCAAGTATCCTGGAAATTGGTCTGAAAGTTTGTTTTGATGATTTCTAGGTCAAGTTATATGTGTCACCTGGGTAAAAAACTAGGTTGCACTGCTCAAATATGGATAATCCTTGTTAACACTGTAGTGGTCACATTTTTGACTCACCTGTCATGAGACTTGGTCAGAATGCTTGTCTAGGTAATTGTTTGGATGAGTTTGATAAGTCAGGTGAGCGATCTAGGGCCATCATGGCCCTCTTGTTTTTCTTTCTGCGGAAAATTCAAAGAAGATATTATTATTTCATTGCTTTTATTTCATATGACCTTCACCTTTATTTGGTAAAATCTTATACAAGATAATTAAATGTCACCATTGAATGTCTTCTGCAGATAATATCCCAATATCATTGGGATTCCATTTCAATATTAATAAAGTCAATTTATGGAGTGGAATTCATATACCGTAAATTGAATACATAAAACATTATTATTACCTTTATTCTTTTGAACTGATGCTGCAAAATCAGTTTTTTAGCTTGAGGAAACTTGTTAGCAGTCACTCTTTATAGGTAAACACTGTGCAGCAAGTGGTTGTAACTTGTCAGTGGCTGAGTGGTTAGGTTAGTTCAAACCAATTGCCCTTGACCTTCATCACTATGGGTTCTACTCAGGTGACATCTCTTGCATTATGCAGGTTAAAGGGCACCTACAGGTCATCAGATGGCCCTTATGATGTACTCTGTATAATACTGTGAATTAACTTAACTTTGTGGATATGAAATTTCGTGGTTTTGTCACAAAGAACATTTTCCTGGGTACTCAAATTCATGGACACTTTAATTTTTCAAAAAGATAAAATGCATAAACAGTGGCATATAGCTACTATAAGGCCATGTAGGCAGGCGCCTACAAGTTGGTCAAGAAATTAACAATTTTAAAAGTCCCAAAAGTACAATAAAACAGGCGACAGTGGAGTTGGTAGTGAGTTCAAGCCGTATAGTCGAATCAAGTGTGTCCGCATGATTTACCATCCTCAATAAAGTATGCATTTAATCAAATTCATAGTTTAAAGTTATTATTTTGATAATTTTTCTTGAACATACTTTGGAATGCGCATTTTGCTCTTTTTAATCTGAACTTGTTTTTGGCTTCCGCAGACCCCCTTTTATGTGCCTACAAGTTGAAAAAAGCTGGCTACGCCCCTGATAAAGAATGTGATGCAAAAAAATCTTACAGCAGACACAATGAAATTTTGTCAGATCCTAAATTCGTGGATTGATCTATACACAAAAACAATGAAAATAAGTGCCCCACAAATAATAATGATTTTTCAGTATCTGAACTTCATTGAGCATCTTTGGTCTAAAACTGACCGAGTTATTTTGCCAATTTAAAACACATTGAATCTTTAGAACTTGATAATCTTAATATCTGAGCGAAATACTTATGAATGTACTTTTATAGAAAATGGATCACTGTTGAGGCTTTTGCTACAGTCGTGTATGTAACATATAGGCGTTATGTTGTGTACGCATCCTTTTAAGCAATTACCCGTCAACTTTTGTTATAATAGTACAGACGGCATAAAAGATGTTGTTGACTTATGGGAAATCACAGAAGAAACAACGGAAAATTATTACTCAATTTCATCAAATGTCTGTCTGTCGGCACAAAGTTATTCGATCTACTGCATTACTGTAATTACTTACAATATTTTGACACTTCTAGGAAGAAGATACGGTTAAAAATTGTGTTTCTCACGAGAGAATAATATATGGTTAAAAAATTGTGTATTTTCCCTGTTTCTTAAAAATAACTATATAGAAACAAACTGTGCAATGAATCTTTTTTCATAATTAAGAAAATATAATCCATTCTTCAAGCATTCAAGATACATGCGTTACACTAAAAGATTTTGTTCTGATACAGTTATATTAATATTTCATTAACAAGAAGTTTGCCGCTGGTATCAATGGCGGTGGTCTTGTCGGTCCGTAACTCGTATTTACTTTAGAGAATTACTACTGTATCTCTATCAGATATAAGCCATAGAACCATATTAAGACGTATCTGATGTATTGTAAATTGGTATCGAAAGCTGCCAAATGACATCTTCCCAATGATTTAATTTGGCCTCGATAAAGATAAAAAAAGTAGGTTGTCAAATTAATACAGCAAATTTCCAGGGGTTTTCGTACATCAGATAAGATATGCTGTAATGAATAACGGAAACAGAAACCGAGCATTGCTTCAGGAATTTTTTTTCCCCCGCTGGTATAAATTATGCATTTGATGCCGATGTGACGTAGCATGATGAACAGTTGTTAGTTCAAAATAAAATCTCAAAATTTAATCTTCTGACTTATACAAAGATAAAAGGTAAAGATACGAGTGCAAAAATGTTTCATGGTGTTCAGTGTTTTGCATATATTCTCACAGTCTAGTTTTAAATGGTCATTTTTGCTCAACCAGTTCTTTAAGTTTTAACCTTCAATGTCATTGAAATAAAGTACTAGGTTAGAAAAGATTACATAGCAACCAGTACGAAAATAACTACATGTAATGTCAGATTGACATTAAAATATATACAGAAGAAAACGAAGAACAAAAGATATTTGTGTAATTCTTTTATTGAAATATTTTTTTTTTAAATGTTAATTGATTAAGAAAATAATAAAAAGTTAATAATTTTATGATGTCAGAGAATGGTGAGGGACACAAAGACATGGATCTTCTATTTCCTGTGTTTTAACAAGACTTAATTATTGAGAAGATTTTAAAAACACTTGAAATTCCATACCAAAAAAAATATTTTAGGACTGGATGATTTTCAAATATCGCACTAATAGCAGATTTAACGCAAGTGTCAGCCTATTTGATTAAATTTCTGCTTGCAAACATAGCGTAACAGTTAATGGGGAGCTGCTCATTCAATTCATGTTTTACTGTGAATATTTCATTACGATTTGACAATATTTCTGCATTAATTTACATGTAGTCATAACGAAATGACTAAAACATTAATTAGTTTCACAACCTCCATCCCTCCCCCCCCCCTTCCCATTTTTTTTATATCAAAATTACTGTTTAGCATTCTGATTGTCTTTGTCTAAATCATGCATGGAGGAATCAAAGAAACAAGCATTTCACTGACTCAGACTTTACTCATGCCCTAATCTGTATGCGACAAGTGCTTGATGGAATTTACAGAATGAAGTGACTGCTCGTAACAATCGTTGAAGTCACCGAGAGAAAAAAAAAATTCTGCGACTTCGGCAAAATTCCTGAACACACACAATAAAGCAACTTTGCCTCGGGCTAATACTATTAGTGATCAAGAACTTTGTGTTATTGACGTCTATAGCGGTGTAATGAGTGAGAACGTATAATGGAGAGTTCTCAGCATTTTGTCAGATCGCAAAACACTTTGATGGAAGGCGTTGTGACTGTGCACTCAATAAATAATGCATACGATTATACATGAATGAGTAAAAGAGAAAAAAATAATGAAAGAAAGATGAAAGGGACTTGTTGAAATGTCAATAGTAATATCGAAACAAATGATAAATGAGGGATGATTTAAACGTATTGAATTATTGAAGAAGTATAATGTAAACATATGTAAAAGCTCCACTGGTTTCAATTTTCTAAATGTTAATGCGTGTAAAGTAGTAAATAAAACTATTTGCTGACTCCATGCCTTATAAGTTTATATGTTTTAATGTCAGTTATCTTACGATCCCTTTGAAAAAATTTGTTGTTAGGTTTTTGGTAAGAATATTTAGAATTTCTGGTTTTCGATGATGTAGATCTACTGAGGTTTAGTAATTTAATCCTGAAATCCCTAAAAGTACTCATGGACAATTCCAAGTTTGAAAGCTGGACAAATCCATTACACAAATTCAGAAGATTTTACAAGAATGTATTTTAGTCATTTTAAAAGAGAATCACCAATGTCAATTACACGTTAGTTTCTTTTGTATAATTTCAGGAGACATTCTGATCAGTAAACCACCGCCTAAAAGTATCATAGCCGATCAGGGTAAAGATGTCCGGATCACATGTCCGGTTAAAGTTCCGGAACATCTCAATGAGGATAAAATGCGAATACGATGGAAACACAACGGTCACTACATCCACGATAGAGATCAGTCGGACAAGTACACGATAGAAAATCGCGAACAAACGCTTCTTATCTCAAATGTGGAAGGAAGTAACGCAGGTGTTTATTCCTGCGTGGTTATCATTGATCATGCACGGGATCTTGCTAGTGGGATGCTAGAAGTTCGAGGTATGTAAGAATGCACTGTTTAGATTTTATCTTCAGATTTTTAAATAAAAAGATGGAGAAAGATTTTGGTATTTCTTCAATAAATTGAATTCATGATAATTTTACAGTTTGAAGCACTGTTTATTATGTATTTAATTTAGTACATATGGCAGTATGCTGGACTTAACATATTCAACGTAATTTTCCGTTGCCTTATGTATGTAATGGTAAACTGATACCTGCATGAGTATCATGTACATGCTCAGGAGGTGCCGTAATATGTAAAAATGTGAAAATAAGTAAAGAAAATGTGAAAGCATGAAAAAATGTGGAAACCATGTGAACATATGTTAAAATATGTGAAAATAAGTAAAAATGTTTCCTTCAACTACCATAATGATAAAATATTTGAAAATAAGTAAAAGTATTGTCTTTACCTATGGCAATTGTGACACTACAGAAGGTCAGTGGTTCTTATTTCATTGTCAACTCTTGTCTGAAATGATGCACATAGAGAGTCACCTGAGGTTGTCTTGCTGGAATGTCACCATATGATATTTTAAAATGTTGGTAAAACATAAAACCCAACCACATTGGTTACGTCTTGACAATAATTTATCTAAATGTCTCCAGAATTAATCATTTGAAACTTTAACTTTACAAAACCATTGTCTACATAAGATCTATCTTTTGTTGGAGAACAGTTGGTGCATGCAGTATCGTCTGTCAGATCATTTTCACCAGGGCGTTTTTATACCACAAAACAAGTAATGAGATCATAAACCAAGTTCTTTAGATGGTATATATCTATAAACTAGCACCTACAGAAATAATGTGACCGCAAAAGTCTGTTCAATTCAAAAGTAATTGAATTAATGTTGTTTTTTTCCCATAGAGCCACCTGAGGCCCCAAGAGAAGTTAAAATTGCGAATTGTGCGGGAAATCAGGTCGAATTATCATGGAAAAAGGGAGACGACGGTGGCGCGGAAATAACTCACTACCTTGTTCAATTTAATACCTCAGAAAGTCCCGATAATTGGATGTACTATTATGATGAAATTTCCGGAGAAGTAGAGGAAACTTATATAAACTTGTCACCATGGGGAACGTATAGTTTTAGACTTTTAGCAAAAAATGATGTAGGATTTAGTAAACCTAGTGCTCCAACGAAAGTGCAGTGTACAACGCCCCCTGAACGACCAGGGGGAAACCCAAAAGATGTTAGAACTTTAACACATAAAACGGGAAAATTGATTGTAACATGGACAGTAAGTGACTTTTATTTCTAAAACATCGGTAGTAAAAGTTTGTAATGCAATTAGTGACTATAATTCACTGTACATTGTATTTAAGACTTAAAAAGGTGCCTGCAAGAGGCAGTTACAAAAAACGTAGGAGATCAATACAGAACAGTGCCAGTTTCCTCATTCATAAGTCAATTTGACCACAGTCTCTTCTTCTATTTGTTTCTCAACTTAAGTGTTTTGATTTATAGAAATCCTTTCAAAATTAAATGAACTTTTCCGGGTTCAACAAATGGCAAGTCTAAGTATATTGATGTCAAGTATTCTGTATGGGATAACTTTTACCCCGCTAGAACGGAAGGTGATTTAAGCCTTAACCACTAGTATGTAGGGAGCCAGTCTGCACAGACGTCTGACCAGACTCTATTGGCTTACTTTAAATTGTTATCTTGATAACCCAAAAATTGATAATGGACAGTTTCCAGAATGGAAGCTGGAAGAGTCCATTTCACAAATTACGCAGGTTGAAAGTGTTGACAACATTCTGTAAAATCATCAAAACCAGATAAGTTTCTAACTTGTTTTAGGATTCTAAAGAATCAAGGAAAAACTCGTAACTAGGATAATCAAATAAATACACATTATAGCGCCAAATGTAAATTGCTTTTTTCAGGATTCTTTTAACCTAACAAGTTGTTAAATGAGTAGAATAAAGCCATGGAAATAATTAAATCTGTATTTCTCAGTAATATGTCTGTAAAATTGTAACAGAAGTTTGACAAAAGTGCCGTTACAGAAGAACAGAATTTTAAGTTAAGGAGAATTTAGAAATTGTAAAACGAGGCAATGTATCTCAGGATAACTTTGTATATAAATATATATACAGACTGATTTAATGACATGGTTACCAAGGTGACATTTTGTTCATTTAATTCACTTTATTTACAGCCGATGGCAAGATTGAGTCACAATGGTCCTGGTTTTAAATACGCCATATTCTGGCGTCGAAAAGGAAGCACTTATTGGAACAAAAATATCGAGCAAAATTCAAACGCAAAAATGTGGGAAACCAGCGTAAATGACATATACACCTTGTATGAGATTAAGGTGAAGGCGATGAACGAGATCGGGGAGTCTCGCCAGCCGGCTTTTATATATCACGGCTACTCTGGTGAGGGAGGTAAGTTTAAAACGGGTCAGAATAGAGTAAGTTATTAACACTTACATATGAATTCTACTTTGAATTTTATCACTGTTAGAAATGATTCTATTGTAAACGTACAGTAAACTAATCTGTATATGCATCTCTCTAAAAACATGTTGCTCTTGTGCTAAATATCTTAGATTCGCTAATTTGGACATAAGCATTCCTCATTTAAGGATATGCTCAGATGAATCATAGCGAAAGTGCAGATCATAATCAATTCGTACAAATGTACTGTCTAATCATTGTCTGCACTGGTTGCGTATGTAGATTCAGTTGCTGCCAGCAGGGTGGAGGTTAAATGTCCTTATATTTTATATTTGTCCACTAAACAAAACAATTAGGCTCAGAATGCCTGTTGTTCACATTCAGATGTAAAAGTTTTATTTCAACCATTTTGGAGATTTTTTGTTTATTTTGGGTTTTTTAATGCGCCATTCTAATTTAAGAGAAATCCATTTTTGTTTTTTAATGTAAGTAAGTAAATAAATGTGAAACAACTCGATGAATCTTATAAGATATAGATTACAGACCTCTGCGATGAAATTATATAGACATGATGTCACATCATTCTGCGGATTATGTAACATTTCACTGCGGTTGCTAGCCAAGTATTTTTTCGAATTATTTTTTTTATGGACAATTCTACTTCATCAGGCAGGCTGATTAGTAGACATTGTCACAAAAAACTCTGTTTCTAACTGTGAAATTTATTTAAGGCCATCTGACTCTCTGCTCTGGTACATATCAATGTTGATGCAACATGGAGTTTTATGAATGATTTTTATGTAGATACAAGACTGTTATTACTTATATCCCTGTGCAAGGGTGACATGAAATTTGAAAAGGTGCCAGCTTGGGTGTAAAATATTGATTTTTAGAATTTACTTAAAATGTTCGTACTCAACTTGTACATGAATTGTCTGGCTGGCATGCTGTCTAAGGGACATCTTTTGCTTAAAAATTATTTACAAAATCTGAGCAAAAAGGGAAAAATGTTAAATGTCTGTGACATAGTGTCATGCTTACGTATTAGGAAAATTAGATTTCTCTCACTCTAAGCATCACTGTATGCCACTTTTAGAATATAATATAATCTTAATTATAATTAGATAAGGCCTCCAGGTACTAAGTTCAGTAGGGGCCGCGAGCTTTAGATTTGTAATGCAGAAGTTGTTGGTTCAAACCCCGGGCTCATTGAAAATATATGGCAAAATATATGTCAGACTTTTGTCTTTAATGGTCATTTGTCTCTAATCGCTGATTCAGAAGTCATTGTAGAATAAGAATTAGGTCACTTACAGAGAAATCGGTCATTATTGGTAAGTTATCCAGGAAAGCTGGTTGGGTGCGCCGACCACCTTGATATGATTAAAATTGGCCCAACCAAGTGAACAATTTGTTTAATAAATATGTTGAAAATTGGAAAACCATTCATTTAATCATGCAGAAATCATAATATTAAATCTTCAAATTATTTCAGAACCAACTGTGATACCAAAAGATTTCCGGTTGGACCGGACGAAGCAGGTTGAAGCTCATAAAGCTCATTTTATCTGGGAAGCTGTTGATACGTCAGAGGATAAAATACATGGAGAATTTCGCGGCTACAAGGTGAGATATTTTATGTATCAAACAGATCCAAACATTTTATTTATTGTTTTATTTGTTACTACATAAGTACTGAAGCTTCTGTTGAATTCATGATGATAATTTATGTAAAACAAACACCAATAACGCTTGTTGCATTCTTGAACCCTTTTCATACATGTGAAATTTTTTTTGATGATCAAGTGGGAGATTTTTCTTCAAAAAGAGGGAGCTTTTAGAATTTGCAACAAAGAAGGATGTTCTGACATCAAAAAGAGGGAGATTTCTTTAATTTGTGAAAATACCCCTTATTTTAAGAAAAAGCTTTGAAAATATGGCTGCAGAAAGTGGGAGTCTCACGCTAAAAGTGGGAAAGTTCACATGTATGCCTTTTTAATAACTGATAATTTTGCTGAATGGATGTGTCAGTTTAAAGAAGTCCCTTAACTAATTTTAGCGATATTGCGATAAAAATCTGGAACTTAGTTTGCAACCACCTGTACTCAGAAATAAACACAGATACGTAGGTTTGTCTAGCTATAATAAATATACTGATGGCAAAGGCTATGCAGTTACGGACCCAGCTTTGGTTGATTATTGAAAAGAAAGGTAAAATATTATAATTACCCTGCCAACCCATTATAACGCGCCCTGTTATAACGCTAGCTAACCTCGGTAAATTATTATTAGATTTACAATGTATGTACTGGATATTTGAATTTCCATTGTTGACCTTATTTTTCTATGTTTTCCAATATTTCCTAGACTATTAATGATACATGTATACAAATTTAAAGGCAGGCTTCTAAATTATTTTTACAAAACATCTTTTCTTCTATAACTGTCAATGTATCACCTGAGAACATTAATGGTTTTCCTCGTAGATTTCCCGAGATGAAATATTTTACTTAAAAATATGTAGGACGCCAAAGTGCTTATAGAGTTATATCTTGTCTGGTTTGTTTGTTATTACACTCTACAGAATATGTTTTCAATCTCGGAATTCTCAGTTGTAAATTAAAGACAATGTTTTACAGTTGGATGAAAAAATTCATTGACTCAACGACTTGGAGACGAGTGGCGTGGCTTTCGATCAATAGCTTTGTCTCTCTATATATCTGTGATTGAATTTTGTTCGTAAAATGTGCCTGAAAATTCATGTTATGAAATTGTGAACATTTCTATACAAAACTATATCCTGTTTATAACACACTTGGGGTTTTCAAAGTGGTATCATGTAGCTTTGTACATTTTTGCGTGGTTGTGCGAAAATACACGATACATTTTCCTCGGTTATCAAGTTATTACACGATAATATTTAGACAATATTTCTTCATAATTTTGTGATCGTTGCGTGTTCTCTAAAGTTCAGTCTAATAATTCAGTATTTAAGTCGGAGCATTATCAGTTTTGCTTTTGATAGAAATTAACTTTGAACGTTAATTGACAAACAACCATAGTCCAACACCAACGTTAATTGAATTTTAAAAGTGTCTTGTGAAGTAAATATCACACATGGTGTCTCGAAAAAAATACTGTAGCGAGGCTGAAATGTTCTGATATAGCAATATTATATAACATCCAATATTTTAAAAAAGTATCCGTTTTTTAAAGCTGCCAGTGGCTTGTAAACATATCCATACTACACTCTGAGGACAAAACCTTAATTTTCAGACCAAGATATGTTAGCACTAATGTTCCTTGCACTGTTGGCATGGGTTGAATCTGTACTGCCACAAGCAGTCTTTAGGTTAATTTGGTTTGTAAGAATTAATATTGTTAATTTTTCAGTTACGATATTGGAAGTCTAGTGAGGGTCGGCACAAATGGCAGGAAGTTGACATACTTATAACAAAGGCAGATCATGGGAGACTGAATGTGCGCGCAGCAATAGATAATTTGCCCGCTTACACGGCCCTCAGGGCACAGGTGTCAGTTATGAACACCCATTATACTGGACCGCCAAGTCAAACCATAGACTTCACAACACCTGAAGGAGGTAAGTTGTAAATCCTCGATAAGAACAGGAGATAGATAGTTACTATACCATGTTTGGATCGGTTACTAAATGAAGATGATCAAAGGCAATCGTTCTGCTTTGGGGGACAGGGGTGGGGGTGTAGGGAGTAATCACTGCTGGACTAGAACTAGTTAAACTAGACAAATTGAAAAACTAAAATACCATTGCACGAAGCATGTTGTACAATTGTAGAACATTCAAACCAAACAATAAGTAATTCTGTGGAAATTGAAATATTTTCATGACATACCTGTTTATTTTGAAAGCCTCTTTGGTGATATAATATCTTCAGATACTTTTTAGCAAATTATGTACAAAAAGATAAAAAGGTTTTTTTACCAATCCTTGAGAAGAAAGTGGAAACTTTTTAACTTAATTCTTAACATTTAAGTTGAACTGCTGAAAACAGAAAATATGGAGAAAATTGAAGGAAATAATTAAGGCTGTAATTCTCTCGAGATACAGGGATCGATGGTTTACCAATAAATAGCTATTACTTAAGAACCCTGCCTGTTATTTCAAAGTTAACACTAAAACCTTTTGGTAAATTACAGTAATTTCGGAGTAGACATCTTGTACATTTAACAGACGCGTTTATTCTAACTGTTCCCGTCCTCCCTTGTTTTTAACGTCCAAATGTTCACCAAAATGTCAAAAATCTTTCCGATAGTAATTCATAAACGGTAAAAGCTTTTCCTAATGTATTTTTACGTAAGTTTTTTTTCTGACATGCGGAGAATATGGAGTTTCGACACAGTGGTAATAAATATAGGTCTGACATAAACGTAAATAGATATACTCTACGTAGATAATGATTTGTCTTGAGCTAAGAACCAAGTGTCTTGCGATTTGAAAGGAAAAATACGATTTTTTTCGTATACAATTTTGTATATTGAAATGTAGATGAAAATAATTTATCTAAATACAGACGGAAATATATAATATTTCTGGTGACATTTTACTATTAGCTTTTTTCCAACGTAATTATATATATATTTTTTATAGACTCATATCTGGTGAAAGAATTATGAGAAGTTCGCAAATTTTTTCATTTTTCTAATTATTATTATTGTTATATTTTTTTTTACATAGAATTTGTTTTATTTCTGGACAATTAATCTTTCATATAAATTTCTAATAAGAGAAAAAAATAACAATAAATAAGTATGTGGAAAACAGACTTTATAACTGACAAAAATAAAAAAATTCCCGATTAAATTTACAGTGAGAAGTTTCCTATTCATTCAATATAAAGTCAGGTCTGCATTGTATTCAGAGCAGAATGATGGTATATTTTTAGTATTTCGAATATTGATATCCCTTTAATCTACAATGGTTTGCTCCATATTCAAAGCAGGGCAATTCCATTACATAAAAATTAAGCAGAGTAGATTAGGGTTAAACAAAATGCCTGAGAATGATTTCTTCACATGCAACTTATAGGTCACTTGAAATTAACTATTGATTTTGACAGATACAGGCCTCGTGTTCACATGCGTTTTCAGTCCTGATCGCATTCTTTTGGGAGACAAGTTGCGTGTGAATTATTACATAAAACTCTGCCTGCTTAAAATCCAATAAAGTGATGTATTGAAAGTAAGTGCGTCATAATTTGGAAACGGAAGTGTATTTCCAGTATTCTAAGCGAATTTGGTATAGTATCATTAAAGTTAACTGTTCTGACCCTTGTCAATACTTCTTACATATATTAAAGCTCCTAAATCACAAATTTGATTTTCTAAAGTAATACATTTTTGTCATTTTAAATATGAAAACACAGTATTCTTGGGGCTGTTTTCATAATAAGAATCAAAGCAGAATGCCTCCTAAGATTCAAAAGTACAAAAATTGAGCTACCAACAATATAGAGCAGCGGTCACAGAGATGTGCTGACTGGCCTGTCTCTAACTGGTGGCAATATCGCTTCATATTGATTGCAAATACGGAAGTTATAAATTCCTAAACTCTCCTGATATTATAATTTTTGAAATTATGTTTGCACTGTCTTCTTTAGGCATGTTAAACTTAAAAAGCGGCCGATAAAATTTCTTGCTTGTCCTTATTTATTCACCATTTTAAAAGTTAAGAGACGTCGCTCCATTTTCCATTCATTTTCTCATATTGATTGGCCCCCGAGACATTCCAACACAAACACTATGTAGCGTACCATTTCAAAACTTATTACCATTCTTTTGGGATTCTGATGGCGTGTGAATTACATAAAACCTTTCGAGCTCGAAATCCAATAAAACGCTGGTGTGAACATAAGGGCATTATATGAGAAACTTATGTATTTTTTCCGAAGCAAAATGAATATAAAAGTGACACCTGATTTAACTTTATGCCCTTCTAGTGCTCGGGGAAATTATAAGATCGAAGTCATGAAAAGCTTCGCTTGACATTTTTTGTACTTAGAAGTAGATATTACAGGTCGGGTTTTATTACCTTATCAATTTTACGCTAAGAATTAATAATTTCTTAGAATATTCAATGAGATTTTCTTTTCCCACCAAACAATAGGTACGCAAATATTAGAATCTGATATAATATTAAGATCGAAATTGCTATTTTAATCAGCCTCAAAATGTACTATTACTTTTATTATTATTTCGGCTTAGCTACAATGTAGATTCTAAAGAAACCATCTCTATTGGTCCTCATTTTCAATTTATTACAACTGTAACTCTCTTTAATTCTAAAATGGACTTACCATGCTTTTAGTTTCAAACTGTCCATTGTTATTTCAAGGGATTTCAGCATTAAAATTATAGAATAAGAAAGCTGGATGAAAAGATTCTGCTTTTGCATTGGTCAAGGCCAAGATTCAGTGGTACATGTAGCCTAGTGGTTAAAGGTGTCTGCATTTCAAACCATGGATCATGGCTTAGAGCTCAGCTGGGGTCATAAACAGATGTAGGCATAATACCTTGATGTAATTTCTTCCAAAATTAAAAAAATATGTTTAAACTAGCTCGAATGACCAGCATTTACACATTTTAATCCTCAGGAAGCTAAATATATTAAATGAACTGGTCAAACAAGACTAGTCATTATGTTTTGGGAAATAAACAAATTGTGTACTGACTGAAAAGGGAACAATGCGGGGATGAAATTCTTGTGCCAGCAAATCTTGGACTGCACTGGTCGTATGAGGTAGATTCTGTATTCACCAGCAGGCAACTTAGGAATAAAAAAAATGTTTTCAGACAGACTGGTTTAGATTTGTGAAGTCCTTCAGACAGATTTTGTAAATGATGGCTTTTATTTTTAGAAAGCACAGTCTAAAAATGTTCTCTCACAGTTTGTTTTCAATTAAGTGAAATTACCATATCTTGCTTTATAAACTTACACAAATTCTAGAGACAAGAAGGACAGATTTTTTCTGTTATGAATATTAGGGAGGAAAATAGGCAGACTTTTAAAACTTAAAGCAGTGTGAAATTACTGTTTTAAAATATTGTCTATAATAAACTGACAGCACCCTGTCTGCTTTAATAATTTATGATGTCATATTATCAGAAATATCAAAATCCTTTGTAAAAACATGTTATATTTTTTTTATTGAATTTTGTTCATTTAACCTTTAACCTGCCATATTTTAGTAATGGATTTACACTGCTGTGAATCTGCATAGTCCAATCAAATGTTTAAGGGATTTCTATATCAAAATACCAAAAAAATTTAAAAATGCGTCCAACAGAACGAGCCTCGGGTCTGACTGCAAAGATAAATACTTTTGGTTGCTTCATTTAGTGTCACACAATAATATGTGCATAAACTATGATATTGCATAGTTATTTCTAAAACTAAAATTTGTGTATCTTATAGACAATAGTCTTTGCTCTGTAATAAATATATTAAAAAAAGTTATTTTCCATCAGTCAATTTATCATAAAATATATAAATACCCACTCAGATTTTAAAATAGCGAAATTTCAAAGAAAGTCATATAAACAGAACACATTAGACTTTTTTTCTTGTAATGTTCAAAGCAGAAATATATATCTTATTTTTCTTCGTCATATGATTGGTTAAGCGCACACAGTTTCGAATTAAAGACGGGATCGCATGAGAAATGTCATTGCATCTTATGCGAAAAAAATGAGGACAAGTGATCAGTTGTGTAAAATATGTGTTTTCTCCCCGATATAAATGGATATAATTATCAGCGTTTCTTGTGTTTGCGAGGCAGTCAGTTTTATCTTTGGGTTTTAACTTTGAATAGTAAAGACCACGGAGAGACAATTCCCATCCTGAAGTAATTTCACTATCATGCAATCACTGAATCAACTATACAATAGCAATTTTACACGAGGGTGATATATGGGGCCTTTACAGGCAAAGGTAGAAAAAGCATAATATGATCTGGTATAGCAGTGAGCGTGTTTTCTTCTCTTTACGTGGATGACTCTTGTTGTGTAGGTTGAATAAATGATGTACAAAACATGCTGACTGTAAGTGTCATGAATACTGTAAATGATATACAAATGCAACACTCCTTTAAATAATGTACAAATTGTGTTCAATAAGTATGATACTAATGTACAAAGATGGGTTGATTCAGTGTGACACGTCTGTAAATAATGTACAAAACATGATGAAGAAGTGCAGATCATGTTGACCATGTACAACAATCATGTACATAACATGTTGAGCAAGTACAACACTCATGAACAAATTATGTTGACCAAGTATAACACTCATGTACAAAACATGTTGTTCAAGTACAACACTGACATGTACAAAACATGTTGACAAAGTACAACACTCATGTACAAAACATGCTGACAAATTTTAAGTACAACACTCATGCACAAAAGATGCTGATAAATTTTAAGTACAACACTCATGTACAAAACATGCTGACCATGTACAACAATTATGTCAAAAACATGCTGACAAAGTACAACACTCGTGTACAAAACATGTTGACCATGTACAACACTCATGTACAAAACATGTTGACCATGTACAACACTCATGTACAAAACATGTTGACCATGTACAACACTCATGTACTAAACATGCTGTTAAAATACAACAATTTCCCGTAGAAATGGATTGACTTAGTGCAACACTGCTGTAAATAATGTTCTAAATGCAACACATACAACAGTCATGTACTTCAACTTTTGCAAAACATTGGGGTGTCACTAATTGCTACACAATGCAAGTATGTAATAAGTAAAAATGTTTAAAGGATAGTAAAGATTCAAATTTCTGATTCAGCTATTATGAAAAATATGTATGCAAAAACTTTAAAACATGATAGAAATGATAAAGATCATCTTGTGCTCTTATAGTTTGATTTTCCTAAACATTTTGCAGATAATTTGTGCTTAACGTGATATTTTTGTTTACAGTTCCAGACCCTGTGAGGGATTTACGTATTGAAGCACATGGGACAACGTATGCTCTTTTAAAATGGCTGCCACCAGAAGAGCCTAATGGACTTTTACTGGGATATGACATTGGTTATCAGCAGAGTAAGCTTCTATTGTTCCATTTTATGTTGATTTCCTTATTCCATTTGTATTTTCCTTACTTATTCACTTGGTATATATATTTAATTATTCTTTTGGTACTATACATGTTTATTCTTTTGCTATACAAATTTAATAATTATTTTAGAATACATTAATGTTCCCTTATACTATTCTTTCAGGAATTTCCTAAATATCTTAATGGTACTAGGAATCATTTCCTTTTTTCTAGCAAAAAGTTTTTGCTATCAGAACATTGATATTTTCCATATTCCAATTTTATTCTTTTCCCTGGTATTGTACATATTTTTTCCCCACTTTCTGATGATATTTCCTAATTCTGATGTAATAAAGGTGTGATATGATCTTTATTGTAAATCTTTCATTACAATTTTTCTTTATTTCATGCTTTCCCGTGTTTTATTGTAATATATCAGATGATTATATTCTGATAAACCACTAGTGAAATTTATAAAATATAATTTTCACTGTAGCCGGACTATATCTGAATGCGGATGAAAAGAAAATCATATCTAAATGGAATAACAGGCAGAATTAAATGCCGTCATGCGTAAATTTTGCTTCTTTAGGAAAAGAAAGTCGATGTAATCATACATCATGTTAAAAATGTAACAAAATTAGAGAAATTTAACAGACCTATATTTCAAAATTGATTATGTGACGTCATGATGTGATGACGTCAAAAAGGAGAATGCGTGACGTTACACGGCAAAATCAGTAAAACAGTACTTAAAATCACTAAAAAAGCATGAAATAAAAAGAAAAATTATTTGTTTTACATATAAGATTGAAATATATTTCATTCGTGAACACCAGCTATTATATTTTCACTCGTGGCTACGCCACTCGTGAAAATATTGCATCTGGTGTTCACTCAGTGAAATTATATTTCAATCTTACATGCAAAACAAACAAATATCCTCTATTTATTCGAATTTTTTTCACATTTGTATTCGTAATACAAAATCATAACAGATATTCTGTTAGTCAGAAATGCGGAGAAAAAAAAATTACAAAATGTAACAAATACTGAAAAGATCTTCCATACTTTTGGTTTCACAGTGAAAATATCATATCTCACTTGTGTAATGTCCTATCAGTTAGATTTATAGGAGACATTAATTCATTTCAAAGACATGGCTGCTTTAGGAAATTAATCACTGATAAACGTTTATCACATACAGAAGTTTATCCTTCTGTCAATGTTTCTAAACTGTTAATGATTAATAGGCATTGAGTAGAAATAAATGACATTCATACAATTTGTGCAACATTTTTTCTCCATTTTCACAATCAATAAAGTTTAGAAAAGTCAAGAAAGCTTAAATTGCTGTTGACTTTTAGCATGGGACTATTTTGAATAATTTTGAAAAATGAGAAATAAATTTTGAAATGAATTTTTGTGTTATTGCCCAAAAAAAACAAAGCACCCCAAACACAACCAAAAACATAATTTGAAGAATAGCAGTAGAAATATGTATTATATTTTTGTTACAAAAGCAGCAAAAGTGAATTAATATTTTGCTTCTGTAACTGCTACAGCCAGTATTGTCATGGACTTTTAACTAATGACTATCATAAAATTATGTGCCAATAGGAGCATCCATGGCAGAGTGGTTAAGGTCATTGACTTGAAAACAGTTGCCCCTTACTGCTGTGGGGTTCGAATCCTGACAGGGACTTTGCAATCTTTCAGGTGGCTGTTTTTTATGCCTGAAATGATACACGAAAGGCCACTTGAGGTCTTCCTCCACCAGTAAAGCTGGAAAAATGCCATATGACCTTTACTGCATTTGTGCAACATAGAACCGAACAAAAAAAGAAGCTCTAATCTGTTTTTTTTCCACAAGATAATAACAACTTCTAATATAAATAATTCTAAAACAGCAGTGGAGGACAAATGGCAAACTGACAATGACAAATTTTAATATGTACCTCTTCAATTAAAGTCTAAGGACGTAACACTGTCACTAGTGATCTAATTTGGCACTCCTTTCTTATTTTTCACAGGGATAGGTATTCTTTTAAAGTACCATACACCACACTATTTTTTTAGCCCTAATAAACAACAAAATAGGAAGACAAGTAAGCCAAGAGTAAGGCAAGAAAATATTCTGAACATAACTATCATTATAGCGTGACTTATGATCTAACTTAAAATTTATGGTCATGGAAGATTCATCAAAATGGCAATCTAAATTTAGCCACACAGTTGTCAGGCTTGTTTTAAGAGGATTTGATGTCGTAAAATGGTGTAAAAATTAACACCTGCTTTGGCAGATTGATGTCTGTTAATAAAATTATATGGTGATTTATTACAACACCCTTTATGGAGTGATAAATTACTTAAACAAAGTAAAATAAAGAGGAGTGTGCAGAATGTGCATGTAAAACCTACTTCTTGTCTGCATCAAAATAACAATTAAAATTAAAACCCTTACATGCAAGGCATCTGATCATGTTTTGCAGTGTTCACTTACACTCAATACATAATTGTATATATGAGCTGCATCACGACAAAACCAACATAGTGTGATTGCGACCAGCATGGATCCAGACCAGCCTGTGCATCCGCGCAGTCTGATCAGGATCCATGCTGTTCTATTACAAGTAGAGAAACTGATAGTGAACAGCATGGATCCTGATAAGACTGCACGGATGCACAGGCTGGTCTGGATCCATGCTGGTCGCAAACCCACTATATTGGTTTTGTTGTGATGCGACTCATATATATTTTAAGATTTTCACTGAATATGATGGTTTTGTTTGGATTGAGGGGCCTCCATGGGTTTGTGGTTAATTTAGCCACTGACTTGAAACACCTGTCTCTCTGTTTATTAGAATCCATCCAGGACCTTTGGATATTTTCTTGTGAAAAAGCTATTTAGCAAGCTTACGGAAAGTTTGTAGTTCTACTTAGGTGACCGTTTTTGGCTAAAATAATGCACAGAGGGGCACCCGAGTTCTTCCTCCACCACTGAAAAGCTGGTAACTTTGAAACTTGCCATTATTATGACCTTTACATGATTTAAAATCCAATCTGCCTCCCCGTCCCAGCCCCACCATTTTATCTTATATGAGGGTCAAAGCAGACATTGCTGTGCTATTTAGACCCATCTTATAAATAATCTGACCTAAAGGCGAGTATATATGTAATTATAGTTATATGTGGTTCATTTTGTAAGTGTCTGTGTTGCTTAAAGTTGATATATATATAAAAAACAACTATTAAAACACAAACTTGAAAAGAAAGGGACACTGGCAGACACTCCTATGCAACTGTGCTGACAATAAAGGTACAAGTTTAATTATTGCAGGGACCATTCTCATACATTCATCATGTCATAAAAAACTGTTTTATAGTGTTACTGTCCTTTGAATAAAACTTGCAGAAATGTGCGTAGCATATGATGATTTCTTAGTCATTGTACTTATTTATTGATGCAAGAGGGGGAAAAAAAAACGAACATTTTTCATCTTTATTCATGTAATAAATATATCATGTTATGCCTAAACGTAGCTTGTTTAATTTTGTGACAGAAGTCTTTCAATAGGAAAAAAAAACATGTACATGGGTTATGAGTAATAATTTGTCACTTAAGAATTAATTATTTTCTCGTCGCTTTGACTTTCTTCCATGCTGAGTATCCAATATATACCGCCCCGTATTTTACTCAGAAGACAAACAAATGCTTGAGTCATGGAACTAATGTTGGTCCATAGTTTAATTTGGCGTTTGAAATAAAAATAAAAAGTTGAGTACGAAATAAAATGAAGCCAGAGGAAGTATTTCAGTAATTGACGTTTTTTATGGCCGATGGTACATGCATGACTAAGAATTTTTTCGGGATCTTTTTTTTTTTTTATCGTAAGCCTAATGAAGTTGTCAGGATTCAAACGGAAGCGAGTGTTTTAATATCCGAACAAAATGTCTCTGTGAAAACTAATGAATTAGAAACATTTAGCATGAATGTCATGGTAAACAGGGGTCCCCTCTCTCCCATTTGTGGAATAGCTTTTTATGAAAAGGGCATGTGCTCGTTTTTTTGCATTCCTGATTTGGTAAAGACAAATGACTCATAGGTTTTAAGTCGATCTGTTTCCGCATTCAAACAGTCGCTCTTTAGCCGCTGAGCTGTTACAATTTGTTGAGCAATTTCGGACGATAATTGGCGAAATTCCTCTAAATTGGAGTGTCACTGAAAGGAAGACTGAGCTATTCACATTTGAAAATTTCAAATAATTAGCTCAGTCTTTTTAATCTTAATTCCACTTGCTTGTACTGGTTGAACATATTATTTCCTAGATTTTCACAGAATGACATGGAAGAGGTTATTGATTATGGTGGATTACAGACAATTTAAAACTGACAAAAAATGCTACAGGCCTTTTACCAAAATCGTGTTTAAGTGATGTTTTTAATAGGGAGTTTTAGGAATTGACTCAACGTCGCAATGAAATGATCTCATTCCTTTGTAATTGATTTAATGTCGTGGAAATATTTGTACAAACGAGCTTTACTAAAACAGTAGTGAAACTTCTTTAAGATATCGAGAATTACTCCATAGTTTCTGAAATTGTCATTTATGCCAATGACAGGTGGTTGTTGAGGTATCAGTCAAACAGTTGTTACGGCCCGATAATGGGACTCCCGTTAACGTGTTAACTACAGCCATGATGAATGACCCATGTAATTATTGCGATTCTTAATTGAAAGTGTTTGATTCAGTTGTCGTAAGACTTAAGATGGATAGTATTAAGTTGCTTATTAGAATGTTGTGCATTAATCATACAAAAAATGCATTAAATACATGTTTTTCAAGTAATCAGTGAAAAAAGCAGAAGATTTCGATACAAAGCACTCATACTCAAATGTTAAGAAAATGAGAAATCGACTCTTTCAGCTTACTGTGCATGGCTTGAGTCACTGCTATTAGATAGTTCTGACTTTTTTCGTTGAACTAGAAATGTGAATTTATGCAGCTCACAAATAAAATTCAGTCAAAGACGTTGCGATATTAAATTTATTTTATTATTATTGGTAAGAATGAACATATGTTTCTATATTTCTCATTACATTTTCAGTAAACCAAGAAGTGAAAGGGCCAAAACGTCAGTTACGACCTCAGATTGACAATCCGGATACGTTAGGTGCGAGAATAACCGGTTTATCATCGAACCATGACTATCGGTTCTACGTTTATGCCCGTACTAAGATGGGCAGAGGAGAGGAATCGTATATTGATGTGAAAACAAAAGATGGGGAACGTAAGAATTTTTCCGTACCTGCGGGATTCTTTTTATTTTTCAGTTTGCATGATTTTACTATATATATACTGCTTTTGAATTTTAGAGGTGAGAATAGAATTGAGAAATTACATATCACGAAAAAATTCTTCCAGAAGGGTAAAAATATTAGTGCATGTGTTTGAAGAATTTGCTTTCTGTGTTTTGTACATGATGCTGTGTCACATTGTGGTTTATTTTTAGACTGGAACTACTTTTAATAATAGACGAAGGCCATGATGGTCGTTGAATTGCGCTCATCCCTATATTGTTATTTACCAGATATTTTCTGTTATTAATTTCACATGCATTAATACTGATTATAAAAAATTTATATTATTAACTACTGTTATGAGCAATTTACTAACCATAACATTTGCCAGCCTTGAAATATCTACATCTGATTAAAAAAGAAACAGATTTTAAAAAACCTGTATAACGTTAATGATAAAAAAAAAAATTCTGTCAAAAATCAGTTTTTTGAATTTTTATTTTTTTCCCGTATTAAAACTTTATTTTACATGAGCTTGTATCAGATGACATCAATTTTTGTGACATTAACTTGATTTCCTTAGTAAATCATTTTCTCTCGAAAACAGTCTAAAAGGAAAAAAACAAACATCCGTAACACATTTTATCTTTTGAGGTGCAATTTCTATAATATATGGATACAGTTAAATATGAAAAACGAGATTTTTTTTTTCTCCTCTAAAAAGTTGAGCTTTGCACACATTTGTTGAGAGTTTAACAAGAGTGATAAATGCTTTCAGGTGAAATTTAAAGGAAAATGGTGAGACATGAATAATAGGTATTATATTCCGGAAAATATTTCCATGGTTTATGATGAATTTATGAATTTATTTCAGACAGAAATCTATGTAAAATATATTATGATGACCTCATATTTTATAACTTCCTTCAAGGAAGAATTTTAAATATCAAAGGTCAAGGTCACCATTGCCATGATCCTATATTTTTTCACTATGGGGATGATGGAATACACATGTGAAATTCTCACATCTTAAAAATTTATTAATTAATAAAAATTAATGATGGAAGAAAATGTTTGATTTTTACAGACATATTAGAAGTAACAATCGACAGCTCATTATTAATTGAAGAAATGTATTTCGCCTTACTTTTTTTCCAAGATTTATCTTGATGTTTTGATATTCATGTGTGAATTTCTTATCTATTGAAAAATGTGAAATAAACCATTCTTGTTATCAGTTTTAATCGATTCCCTAATGAATTTCTGCCAGATAGACAATTAATCTATCATTTATGTCTCTATTTTTCTCATTTCTGTTTTTTTCTTCATCTTTTTTTTTCCGCTCCTTACTCATTTCCATGTATTTTCCGCTTTTATTCCGTATTTTTTTCCCGCTTTTTTCCATATGCCAACATATACAATTATTTTTTGTCATGCAATGGAGCTCACACGGGTCTTGTCTTGTAGTCCAATGAATAGTTTTCCGTGCAAGTTCGCTTATTTTGTTCTTTCTTTTTTTATGCTTTTTTATAACCGTCTCATTTGAACATATATTATGTAGAAATATTTGGATAGGAGAGCATGCCTCGAGTGGTGTGTTGCATTCCGACAGTTTTCCAATTCTGTTTGTTACGGACTATATAATATGTATGAATTGTAACTTAGGGACACATAAATTTCCGTTACGATTTGATATCACGGCACTTTTAAGCCCTTGACATTTATGAATATAAGGCGTTTTGAAAATTTCTGCTCAAGGATTCAATCAGTTAGGAAAACATTCCTCTAATTTTATCAATTATTCTCTTTCATTTAAGGATACGTACATTTTTTTTTCTCATGTTTTGGAAGCATTTTCAGAATCTATAAAATTTCATTGAAATGGGCAACATTTGTTGCTTTTAAAACATGCATACAGTTATAATTTTTGTAAAAGAAGCAACATGGTAAAACAGTTTAATATTGAAGCTTCATGTTTGCACTGGTAGGATTGTTAAAGTTGCCTACTTTGAATTGAAAGGCCTTCATCGCTATAGCTTCTTTTATGTTAGGAAGCTAAGTTAAATCCACGTTGCTTATGGAAGGTCAGTGGTTCGTACCAAGGTGTAAGCTGTAAAGTCGCTAGTCCCTGAAATGGCCCAGCTCGGGTGCCTGAATAAAGACATTAAAAATACGCAGCTCATAGGGCTGGTTTGCTTCAGCCATCCTTTATCGTAACAGTAGAGAAACCACCCATGACATGAACATTGTCTGTATGAATAGAACTTTAATAAAATGAATTAAACTGTTCTCATCTGTGCAACTGGCAATCTTTTATTGCCACTGGCAAATTTGTCATTATCTCTGAAACAGGCATTTCCTTATAAAAACTGGAAACTGTATTGTTATTTATTATTTTATTCATAGCACCAGATACCCCTCAACCAAAGTTTATGACACTGGATCAAACGAGTGTAAATATAACTTGGACACCATATCGGCTCATAGATGTTGACTATGTACTTGAATATAGACTTGCAGGTACAACAGCACTAAATTATGAAAAAAAATCATGATATTTTTAAGTGTGACACCACTAATTTTTTTTTAATTTTTTTTCCAACAGTTAATATTTTTGATTAAAGAAAAGTCTATTTTGTTTTCATAAGTAAATAGGAAATATTTGTGCTCTATAGGCTTTTTCAAGTTTCATCATGTAAATAGCTTTGATGGAAAGTGTCCAGGATTTAAAAGCAGTAAGAAAAATTGCGTTGATTTTGTCTAGATTTTTTACTTCGTATATTTAGAGGCTCCTTAAATGTTTTTTATGCATATTAGATTGTTTAAAAAAAATATTGCAATTGATACACCTTTTAAAATGTAAAACTTTAAACCATAGAAAATCAAAAACTGATACGTCATCGGTAAAATGTAAAATTCTGCAGCATATCTCAGGAGAGTTTGTAGGTACGGAAAATTCTATCGATACTTTTCTGATACTGACAAATAATAGCTTGTTAAGAATTGAATGTAACCTGTCATACAATATCAGCCAGGTTGTTTTTTTTTCCATTTATTCCATGACGTTCATCTTTATGGTCTAAGTGAGTCGAAGAAAACAGGCAAAAGAATAGTTTTTTCATTTTCATTATGATCGTGTATAAAATGAAAAAGCTGGCGCTTTTTTGCTCGAATTCCCTTCGGAGATATAGGCGAATAATGATATAATTATTGAATTAAAGATCAATTTGCGATACACTCATAGAATGAGTCTTCTTGGTATGTAATAGCCACCAATGACATCATACAAAGTCAGATCTTTATTAAAAAGCAGTTTGTAGCCGAAGCAATTGCGATGTCTAGGCTCGATAATGCCGTAATATAAATACCAATATTTAACTAACATGCAATATAGCAAAAAAAATATACTTTATACAAACTGATGGTAAACAGGAGAACATTATGAAACAAAAGATTAACGAGTTTAAAGGAAACCTTGGCAGTTTCTTAATGCTGAAAATATTAGTATATAGCCTCTATTCATATAAGCATTTTTCTTATTGCTTTTTATTTCTTGGCTTAAAACTTTAGCCTGCTGGCAGAAACTGAGTTTACCAATGCAACCAGTGCAGACCGAGATCTTCCGGAACATCCGTGCCGTCTGATCTTGGTCTGCTCTGTTTGCTAGTCAGTCAGTACTTATTTTGAAATTTTCCATGTAATAGTGAATGGTTTTGTCTGAATTGAATGTGGGCAAGTCCATTTCAAGTTTTTAGCATAGTAAGGGTTAAAGGTCATTTGTAAAATGTTCTTGGCCATGACTGATGTTTACATTTCAAAAATATATTGGTACAGGTACTTACTTAATCATGCTTTAAAATGCTTTATCATCAGCTTTCCTTGCCAATCATTTATCCTGAAAATTAGCTAGCCAATGAAAATATCAGCATTCACTATGTAACCCTGGGCACTTTCCAGCATTTGCGTCACAGATTGCATGATACTGTTTTAACGACCCCATCTTTTGGGGTTGCAACAATATCATGCTTTCTGGGTAAAAAACCTTCGCTTAAAACAGAAATCACAACCAGATAGCATGTTACATTTTACCGTTTTTTTCTCCTCCTTTTTTATTGTGCTAAAAATAGTAACATGCTGTCTGGATTCAATAACCTATTGCTTTTATTATTATATGCACTACTTAACCTCTTATCACACGCTTGGACTTTAAGGGCAAGCTGATTGGAGCATTGCTAATTCTGAATGGGGGCGGTCTTGGATGGTGATAAATGATTTATTACCTGACATGGAATATGAAGTGAGACTTATTGCCAAAAATAAATATGGTGACACAGCATCAAGTACCTTATACAGGGTGAAAACACAACCCAGACAAGGTAGATAACACATCTGTTGTAAATACATCCTCCAAAGCCTCTAAACCCCGCCTCTCGCCTCTTAACCCCACCTTCCCAATAACAAGACACAAGGACAAGGTTGGTATATATTCTGTAGTACATACACCCTCCAGAGCCTCTAAACCTCGCCTCTCTCTCTAATTGCCTCTTAACCCCACCTTCTTAATAATGCGACACTAGGACAAGGTAGGTACATATCTGTTGTACATACACCCTCAAAAACCTCTAAACCCAACCTGTTGAAAGCTTCTTAACCCCGCCTTCTCAGTAGCGAGACACAAGGACAAGGTAGATACATATCTGTTGTCCATACAACCTCCAAAGCCTTAAAAACCCTGCCCCTCTAAAGTCCTTAACTCCACATGGCCAGTAATGGGACTAATAATATGGACAAGGTAGATACACATCTGCTGAACACTCCCTAAAGCCTCTCAACCCGGCCCCTCTAAATCTTCTTAATGCCCGCCTCCACGGGACTCTGTATGCTTAAAGCTGGGGACTAGTCTGGAAAGTTACACAAGAATGTTAAAATTTTAGCAAAGGACGGGCAATTGTCTGGTGCTGAGGTGACAGTTTCTTAATATCAAGGATCCAGTCAGACTAAAATGGACAAATACAAAATTAATTGCTAAGCTACTCTGTTAATAAAACTTTTATCACATTTCGTTGGGCTTTTTTCTGTCTGACCATAGTCTGTATTATTAGTTGAAATTTCCTGTTACCTTGGAGGCGAGGAGGTTCTGTTCGTATGACAGAAAATTTATATATTTTTTAAGCTTTAACCTGATAATGTCTGTATGTCATTAAAGCTTAAATTACATGTATGTTGAGAAATAAAAGTGGCCCAGTGGCTTAAGATTACAAACCCATTGCCACTATGGGTTCATATCCTGGACTTAATTGATGCTTTCACACGAGGAAGCTACGCAAAAATCTTAGTGGTTCTACTCAGATGTTGGCTTGTGTCTGAAAACTTGCATGGAGGATGTCCTCAGAACTGCCATGATTATGACTTACAGTGCCATTGTGATGAACAAAACTGATTTATATTTAATTCATAATTCATAAGCATATATATAAAAATCTTTTTAAAATAATTTTGGTTTTCAAGAATCTATCCCTTTGAAAGATTGTTACTACAGTATAAGTCTTTTAGAGGACACATTCTCTAGAATACAGTGTCTATTTTGTATATTAATTATATTTATATTATTTCAGGTCGTGATGCCCACCTTTACCAACAGGATCAGCCACATGATGCTGACAGTGCTTATAGCGGGGCCTCAACATTTAATCACCAAATTTATACATCTGTATCAAACTTTATAGCAAGAACTATTATGTTACAAACAATCCTGTCTCTAGTCATTGTAAAATTCTTGTTACATTAAATTAAGTTGATGCCAAAAATAAATAAAAATTTAATTATTAAAATATGAGTGCTGGGATTAAGGGGTGTATATGTTAGACTAAGGGAGGTAACTCAGATACAGTTATATGATGGTGATATTGTGATTACCCTCCCTTGAATAGAGTCAAATATGTAGAGGGAGCTGAGAAAATTGACTCGGTGATTCATACAGAGGAAAGTGTTGTAAAAATTCATTTGAGATGGTACATTCCAACTAAGAGAGTACATTAGTTTCCTTGTTAACTCTAGATATATAGTGCTTATGACATAAAAGGTTGTCAAATTTAACTGATGTGATCTGAAAACAAAGTGCTTACTCAGAATGACACATCTTTTTCAAAGAAAAGCGGCCATTTTCTTTTGCAGACGGCAAAATTGATATCACTATGTACTAAATTAAGTTGAAATTTTTTGCCAGCACACATACTTTTTTATAATTGTATATTAAATAATCATTCCATATATATTCAACTACAAAAGAGGAATTCCAATACATATTTCCTATGAATCAAAAAAGGACATCTTTGTGCAGATGGTGTTGAAGATGAAATTCATCGAAAAATTAAACTTGAGTGGGCGTTGAACTGGAAATACTCAAAGAAACCTTGAGATTTTAATAAAAACCAAGGTTGTGACATGTAGATGAATAGAAAACATTTTTATCATACATAAAGGTTGTGAAACTAAAGATTCCCTATTTTTGTCAAAAAAAATTTTGTTGAACATATTGTGCTGTGAATGGAATTTTATATTTTGTTCTTTTTTAAGCATGAAGTTACTATTGATGAATGTATGCGTAAATGAACAAATTGGTATATATCTATAGACAAGTTTTCTATTTAGTAACAATAGTTCAAAATAATGTAATTCAAGTAGCACTAACAACTTTATTACAATCCAGCAGTGTTTCTTTATTATCAGTCAAGATGTCTTCAAATTTATCACTTATTTGAAATTACATGCAACTTGTTGTTCTCAGTTAATACATAAAATGTTGACCTATAATGAAACGTTACTTTCCTTTATGTATTTTTAACATACTTTCAGTAATTATTTTGATTAGATCAGAAAACAAAATTTACAATTAATACCTTTTGTTTATATTTTGATCAAATCTGTTTAATTGGGAGGAAAATAAATTTGTAAACCAGTCTGAAAAACTTGGCACTTGATTGGCTGTTTCAGCTTTTGATTGAAAAATTGACCTATGAAAAGATGTCTGGTCTAGACTGGTACTCATTCTTAAATGACAATGCTCTGAATCATCTACATTTTGTTTTTGAGAAAATGTTCATAGTTGTGTAGTATTTACAAAATAACATCTTGTATTGTGTAAATGAGATTGAAACATTTTGTATGCATAATTTGTTGTCATAAATACTCATATCTTTTTTTTTTCTTTTTAAAAAATCTGAATCATGTTTAAGACTCTACAAATTGTATGTACAGTATATTTTTCATGTGCCATATAGTATAATGTAAGTAGAGATCTATAAGGACGTACATTTCCCCCCATCTTGCCATTTAGCCCAATGAGATTTGAGCTCTGCGATATTATTTGTATGCATGTCACATTCATCTGGAATCAGTGTTCTATCTAAATAAAAAAGAATTTAGTACATGTATTTCCAAAGTTTTCACTGTACATTTTATTTTTCATATATGAAAGTAAACTTCAGTTGGTTATTTCTTTTATGCACCATGTACAAAGCCACTAAACTTTTTGAATAATTCAGTAAAAAAATGGTATATCAAGCTAAATAAGTAGAATTATTATGCACTCTTTATTTTCTGTATGTCCTGAGAACATTTATAACCAAAAAAAATATCATCTGTTTGAAATCAAGATCTGACAAAACTTTTCATGTCAAAGACCTTTTTTCATTATATTATATTATTCTGCAATTTTTAACTTTTTTATCTATTTTTTAAAAAAAAATATGACAAGTATTATAGTAAGCTGGTATTTTCATTATGATTACTTGCTCTTGATCATGACTAAAGTATTGTATAAAGTTAAAATATGCTGCAACAATATTGCAACATTGAATGGGTTGCATGGGCCTTTTCTACTAAAATTCTGGGAAAATTTTGCGAGGATAATTGTTTTTATGAATTATGGGCTATATCCTTTGTAGAGGTGAGATATTTTCAATATTTTCATTCTATTCAAGAATGGAGCTAAAGTTTATTAATTCAAGTTGATGGTAAATAGTAAAAATTTGCATAAAATGATAGTTATATATCAATTACATGTAACAGATTAAACTTGGTATTAAGGTAATTAGCATCAAGTGATTTTCATTCAAATTGGTATTCAGTTGACATTTACTAACTCTAGCTTTTGTGCTTTGAAAAAGTTTAGCTTATATTAGAAGTGTTTTGTGTGTTTAAATGATCTCATTTGTTGTGAAAAAGTAAAAATCAGTTTTCATGGAATCTCAAATACAGTAGATTTGCATTGGTTCCTTCTGTGTGCTAGATATTTTCTACATTGGTTCCATATTTGAATAGCTATTACATTGGTTCCACATTTTGTCTAGTTTTAACATTGGCTCCAATTCTATGTGCTAGATTGTTTTACAATGGTTCCATACTTAAATAGCTATAAACATTGGTTCCACGATTGTCTAGTTTTGACATAGGTGCCATTTGTGTGTTAGATTTTTTTACATTGGTTCCATTTTTGAATGTTTTTACATTGGTTCCATGTTTGTCTAGTTTTTACATTGGTTTCTTTATATGTCAATCTTTTTGTTCTTAGATACATTGGCTCCACACTATTAGTGTTTCATACTATCAAGTTTCCACACTGTTAAGGTTTTAACACTATAAATTAGGTTCCACAATGTTAAATTTAAATTTCTATGCTATGGTATCAAGGTTCCACAATATTAAATTTCTATGATGTCAAGGTTTCACAATATTAAGTTTCTATAGAATCAAAGTTACACAATATTAAGTTTCTATAGAATCAAAGTTACACAATATTAAGTTTCCACATATCAATATTTCACAATATTAAGTTTCTATGGTATCAAGGTTTCACAATATCAATTTTCTGTGGTACCAAGGTTTCACAATATTAAGTTTCTATGGTACCAAGGTTTCACAATATTAAGTTTCTATGGTACCAAGGTTTCACAATATCAATTTTCTATGGTACCAAGGTTTCACAATATTAAGTTTCTATGGTACAAAGGTTTCACAATATTAAGTGTCTATGATATCAAGTTTTCACAATATTAAATTTCTATCATATCATTATCATGGTTTCTTTCAATTAAGATTTCAAACTATTAAGGTTCTGCACTATCAAGGTTTTAAAATATCAAGGTTCCACACTATCAAGGTTTCTTGATATCTAGATGTCACAGTGAATTTCAAGGTTCCATACTATCAAGCTTTCATGGTATAAAGGTTTCAAAATATCAAGGTTCTTCCACAAAATAAAGGTTTCACAGGTTCAAGGTTTTAACAATTTATTTATCATCCGATATCACTTATCCCAAATATGATAACTTTTAGGCATCAGTAACTACATTGTATATTTAAAATTAATTTAGGTAATAGAAACTGACACTTTGTTCCTCATTTGTCCAAAAAATAAAAAGGTCTGGTTTTAAATGAAATGTATTTTATTTCGCAAAGGTTTTTAAAAAAATTTATGTAAATAACAAACTTTATATTAAAACGTGCTTTTGAAGAACAAAGTAACAATAACATCTTAATATCATAGAAGTCTTCTAGTAATGTCTGCTTGCAATTAGTGAAACCATGTCTTCCTTTGTTGAATATTGGAAAAGAAAATGTTTAGTTTTATTCTAATGATGCAAGTTTATTTACAATTATTTACAGTAAATTTGATACGTTTTTGGCCATAATTTGTGGTATGATTACCAAAGTATTGGAGAAGTTGAGGGTTGATATGATTACAAATTGACAAAACCTTGCCCTCTAGTGCACTGAAGGGTACCTGAGGTCTTCCTCCACCAGTAAAGATCGAAAGTCACCATATGACCTATACTGTATTGGTGCGACATAAAAACCAACCAAAAATAAATAGCTGATAATACTGGAAAAAAATGGGAGAGCATGGAAAACTAAAAAAGTACAATTTTCAGTTATAGTTTGTAACATGCAAATTTTATTTACCCAAGGAAAAATATCAGTATTTCTTCACATTGCATGATCTTTGAATGAAAAAAAAGGAAAATTAAGAAATTTTTGAAATGCTTGTAAGGGGAGATAATTTCAGTTTTGAAATCCATATATGTCAAGAGTAGAGCGCCTTTTCACCTTCATTTTTAAATAGCTGTACTGTGCTTCCATTGAAATATGTTGTTTTATTCCCTAGGTAGCTATAAATGGAGTAGTCTGCCTGCTTTGAAGTCTTTTTATCGTACATTGTAGTGGTGTTGTGTTAAGTTAAGTTCTTTTTTGATCTGCGCCTGCATCTTCGAATTCTTTCATGTGAGAAAGCTATTCAGCTAGCTTACAGAACATTGGTGGTTCTACTCTCAGGTGCCTGAAATAATGGACAAAATGACACCTTAGGTATTCCTCTCCCAGTAAAGCTGGAAAGTCACCATATGACCTATACTGTATTGGTGCGACGTAAAACCCAACAAAAAATGGCATAAAAATTATCTGCCTTTGAATCAGGCGTGAGACTTTAAATTCTTTCATTTCTGAGTGGTAGCTGTCCAGCAAAATATTTTTTTATTCTCCAGTGCCCGATCGTTCTTGAAATAATGCATAATATTAGGACACGAGGCCTTCCTCTACTGGTAAAAGTAGAAACTTGCCATACAGCCTTCAGGCTGTCATGTGTGACTTACAACCCATCTAAAATAAATCTGGCCTTGACATTTTTAAAGAGTAAAAAGTAGTTTTCTATGGCATCAAATAAATACATTAAAACATGGAAACAATCTCAAAGAATAGACATTTGTCATTTTAAAAGCTTTAGTGAATATGCCAGTATATGTAATGAGAAACAAAGGTGTTTCTGCATGGATTTGTAGAACATTTGAGCCGCGTCATGACAAAACCAACATAGTGCGTTTGCGACCAGCATGGATCCAGACCAGCCTGCGCATCCGCGCAGTCTGATCAGGATCCATGCTGTTCGCTTACAGACCCTATAACAAGTTAACAATCTGATAGCGAAAAGTATGGATCCTGATCAGACTGCGCGGATGCAAACCCATTATGTTGGTTTTGTCATGACGCGGCTCAATTTTCATTCAAGTGTTCCGATTTCTATTTACTTATTTTCAAGCATTTAATTAAACCAAACTAAACTAACTACATGTAGTATTAAAATTGTTGCAGATGATTTTATAATCTCAGACAAGAATGCATAATTTTCATGTTGAATTCCAGTGGTTCTTTTCATTCATTTTTATTGTGTCAAAGATTTTTTTAATCAGGTTTTTATTTTAGTTATTTTGTGATATGTTAATAAATGTGAAATTATTGTATATATTCTGTACTTTTTTATTTAGGGCAGAAATCAAAACACGTTAAGTTTTATTACGTTCTGTTTATTTTTTAGAAATGAAATAAATGTATGTGTGTTTGTTTTGTTTTTTTGTTGTGATATATTAAAGCTACTAACCCACACACATAATGGTTTGACCTTCTTTTTTGTTGTTGAAAAAGTGAATGTTATTAAAATGATAAAATTACACCACAAGTATAAACATTTATATGATTAACCCTTTGCCTAAGCAACCATTGCAGACTGATTAACCATTTGCCTAATAAACCATTGCAGACGGATAAACCATTTGCCGAAGCAACCATTGCAGACTGATTAACCATTTGCCTAAGCAACCGTTGCAGACTGATTAACCATTTGCCTCAGTAACCAGTGCAGACTGATTAACCATTTCCCCCAAGTAACCAGTGCAGACTGATTAACCCTTTGCCTAAGCAACCTTTGCAGACTGATTAACCATTTCCCCAAGTAACCAGTGCAGACTGATTAACCATTTCCCCCAAGTAACCAGTGCAGACTGATTAACCATTTCCCCCAAGTAACCAGTGCAGACTGATTAACCATTTCCCCCAAGTAACCAGTGCAGACTGATTAACCATTTCCCTAAGCAACCTTTGCAGACTGATTAACCCTTTGCCTAAAGCAACTAGTGCAGACTCAATTGGCACATCTGTGCCATCTTATTATGGTCTGCACTGTTTGCTTGTCAGTCAGTACATATTTTGAAACAGATGAATGTATTGTCCAGATTACATTTAAGAAATTTAGCATGGTAAGAGTGAAAAATCTGACATTTCTATTCTGCTATTATTTAACAACATTTCAACAATTTTATTCTGCTACTATTTAACAGTGTGCCAACCAATATATTATGTGTGTGGGTTTGTGCCTTTAAAATTAATAAGGCCATTGAATGTTTTGATATACATGAAGTTAATTCACATGCTATTTGATGTACCGGTACATGTACTTTGTACAAAAACCATGCTGTGCATGTTATCCTTTTCCTAATTCATTTCTGGGTGCTGGGTATAAATGATGTGTTTGCCACAAGCATAAATGCTGGCCAGTCTGTAGACACCTAGCCCCGTGTTCACCAAGATTTAAGGACCAGGATAAAGCTCAGATCAGCTGATCCGATAGTTTGACTCACATGTCCTGTGCCAGCAAATGTGATCTGTTTATACTTTGATTTATTAAAGTCCATGACCTTACCAGTCCAATGTAAAGTTAATTTAACAACATAAACAATGCAAAAGAAAACATGATTGAATACTAGTTTTGAAAATATTTAACAGAGTTACCTATATTAAGCTTAGAAGTGTATATATGAAATATTGCATGTTTTTTTCCTTGTATACTTTGATGGTAAGTTCACATTTTTGTGTAATCATTTCCTACCTTCATGCCACAGCACCGAGGGACCAATTTCAATAATTGTTTGATCTATTTAATGCCCGCAACATTTAAAATTTTAATAACTTTAAAAAAACTGCTTGATTTTGTTTATTTAATAAGATTGTTACATTGTAATAGTATATAATATTATATTTATATTATGTATTTTTTATATGGTTCTTCCAAACAGAGTTGATTATCACTTGTTAAAAAAGTTCTGGTTTCGTTAGTTTAATAATGTTAAACCAATTTTTCCTTGGTAATAATTATGTTTACCAAGAGAAGATTTTTTTATTCCTTGATAAGAAAGATTTTGTGAGGGATTTTTTTTTAAAGTTGTTAGATTTGGTATTTCCTAAAACCTAGTACCCCTTCTAATATTTAATCCTAAGATTTAGTGCATTCTTTCTTTGCATGCTTTCAGTACATTCTGGCCGTCAAAATTTTTTTTATTCATTATTTCCTTTTAAAAAAGAGAATACATTTTGTTCTGTATTAGTATATTCTACCCATTCTTTCATTAAAATTGTGCTATTTGTGAAATTTAATATATAATTCATAAAATTAAATCCTACATGAAATTTAATCTTTCATGAAATATTGTTATGAAATTAAATCCTTCATGAAATTAAATCTTTCATGAAATATTGTTATGAAATTAAATCCTTCATGAAATTAAATCCTTCATGAAATTAAATCTTTCATGAAATATTGTTATGAAATTAAATCCTTCATGAAATTAAATCCTTCATGAAATTAAATCTTTCATGAAATATTGTTATGAAATTAAATCCTTCATGAAATTAAATCCTTCATGAAATTAAATCTTTCATGAAATATTGTTATGAAATTAAATCCTTCATGAAATTAAATCCTTCATGAAATTAAATCTTTCATGAAATATTGTTATGAAATTAAATCCTTCATGAAATTTAATCTTTCATGAAATATTGTTATGAAATTAAATCCTTCATGTAATTAAATCCTTCATGAAATAAAATGCATTTTTCTGCTTCATACAAACTACATTTTGCATTATGAAAAACATTTTAGTACATTATTATAATCCTTTAAATTTAGTACATTCTATCCTACAAATTATGTAATATATTCTTCTCATTTCAACTATCATAAGATTTTAGTACTTTTTAACCTTCTAAAAAATCAAATTGTTTGTATTCTTTAAAATATACTTTTCCCATAAATACTTAAGGTTATGTACATATAAAATTTTAATAATTATTCATTTTCAATTTTTTTGACATTTTTACAAAAGATTCAGAATATATTTACTTTAATATATTTACATTATTTTCTGTAAGATTACTATAATAATTCCTGTAATTCAAAATTCTAGTATTCTAATTGCAGTATAATGTGTTTTGATATTTTACTCATATAATACATAATTAAAGGTTTTTGTTTTTCCTTTTTGTTTTTTAATTAACAAAAAGTGAAGGAAAGGAGAATGATTTGAATTTCGATCACTCTTAAAAAAGTTTGACAAAAGTTTAAACAGGGAGTGTTTAAATGACTTTTCATATTTTGTTTGTTTATTTGTTCGTGCAATATTTAACAATCCATTATAGTCATATGGTGTATATACATGTACAGTTGGCCGCCAGTTCAGCGAGTCCTTTGGGACGCTCAATGAAATATTTATTGTTATTTCAACATTTGTGAATACAGTGTGAGTGTTTTTGTTTTATTGAGTGTTTTAATTGTATACATCTAAAAATAGATATTTTTATGTGTGTGTTTATTAAATTATGTTTCAAAATTAGTTCATTTTCATAGTTTGCAAGAATTGCAAAATACTTTTGAACAAACCTCTTTCTAAATGCTTTTTACATAAAAATGAAAAACTATATATGGTATAAATATACTAATTTATACAATGTCTGGGGAAAAATCTTTTAAATTTTCTAAAGAAGGATTAAAGTTTGAAATGATTATACTTAAGAAAAAAAATTGATGGTCTAAGGTGCATAAATTTTTAGTTATAGGAATTGAAGAAAAAATATTGTTGTCATTCTATTAGTTCATTATGATTTATATAAAAATGAAAATTATATAAAAATGGAGGGAAAACATACAAAGAGTGGGTGTTCCCTGTGTTTCTTAATTTAATTTGAAAATATAATGCATTTTAGTTAATAATAAATCATCTATCTTTGAAGGATATCAGTATTCCAATGTTTAGTTATATTATAAAATTTTCATGTTAAATTGTATTGTTAAAGGAGATGTTGACAAGATGAAATTTGTGTAAATTAGTCACTTAAAATCTGATAAAGGGGGTTATTTGCATCATCAGGTAGTTTTCTATGAACCTTTTTCTTATGGAGTGAATGGCACATTGATGTTATATAACCTGAGAGTAATTATTTTATGTGTTTGTAAGTCAGGTTATATTATTGTATAGATAGAGAACTCACACAAATTTTAACATGAATGAATGAAAATAAACTTTTAAAATATTTCTTTGCTCGTGTTTTTTGCCATTTTTCACAAATATATTTTTGTAGAAAGTTCAACCCTCTTATGAGAGAGTGTCAAAGCAAAAAGTGCATATAGCATACATGTAATTGGCACCCTGATATTTTGGTTGCATGTTTAATTTATTCCCATTTGTCTGACTATTAGCAAATTGAAATCTGTATGCTCATACTTATAACTTCAGAATCTTGTTATTGAATTACCGTATATGCAATGCCATTGACTACCGGTATGTTACTTTTAAGCAGCATGCCTCAAAATAAATGCTAATTTTCATGAGAAAAGATAACACAATGTTTTTAAGGTCAACAATTTTATTTCACTATACTGTAAAACCAACAACACATTTAAATATAAAGTTTTATGATTGTTTCTGTAATAATTTCACAATTATATATTACATTTAATTTTTTCACTTTGTTCCAAAAAATTTGAACAAAACATTAACATACAATTTGACATTCCAACAAGTTTAAATGCATATTACAAATATATTGCCATTTCCAAGTAATAGATGTTTTAAAAAACAAATTGTCAAACA